GACGTGATAAGGTCGGGCACTGAGGTCGGACGTGAGTAGGTCGGGCTCGGAGGTCAGGCGTGATAAGGTCGGGCACTGAGGTCGGACGTGATCAGGTCGGGCTCGGAGGTCGGGCATGATAAGGTCGGGCAAGGAGATCGGGCATGATAAGGACGGGAACTGAGGTCGGATGTGATCAGGTCAGGTACGGAGGTCGGATGTGATAAGGTCGGGCGAAGCGAAGTCAGGCAAGTCGGGAGGTCAAACAAGTCAGTTGAGTGCTGTAACTGGCGAGAGCGGTTGGTGAATCGGTTAACACACGTGTCAACAGAGGAGAACCTGGTGGGCGGTTGACAGCGGTTGCTGTAATCGACCAGACGACGGTTCAAACCGTTTCTTTAAGGGGTTATTTAAGGATTCAGGTCTGTTCTGACAGATCATCTTCAATCGACATCAAATTCAAGAGAATTGCTTTTGGGGATCACCACTTCATTTTTCAGTCTGTAGTTTTATTTTCCTATTTTATTTATGTATCCTACAGTGTTTAGAGATTCCTAATCTCATGCACTAATTATATCAAATTCGAAGATAATTTCCTATTTTCGGATTTTACTTTTTATTGTTGAAAAACTGCATCAATAAATTGGCGACCACAGTGGGAGAAAGGCAAGATAGCTGATCATACGTCAACAGAGAATTTCATACGACTAAGGTCTGGCCAAATAATCGGAAGGATCCATATGGCGGGTTCACAGCCTCAAGCATCTTCAGCACCGGTGGGAAAAACCATTTCACCACCTTTCATGCCAAATGCAGGGGAAATTCCCCAAGTACCCGCCGATTGGGTGTCTTATGTTCAACAATTGAACAATCAGCATAGTCTGGCTATGCAAAACATGTTGCGTGAGCAAAAAATGTTGCGTGAGCAACAGAACCTCATGCAAAGTATGTTAAATCAAGCTTTATCAAGGGTTACTCTGCAACCCACCCAGTCACCGCCAGAATCGTCACTATCCAGATTACAGGCAAATTTTGCGGGGCCTTCGTACATGGATAGCACTTTTCCAAGTGCTACCGCTACTAGGGTTGACAGGGGAAAGACTCCTCTCACATACCCAAATAATATTCCAGTGGGTGTTAGGGCCGAACCAACCGACCCCAGAGAAGAAAGATTGGGAGGACAGGCTCATAATCCCATTCCTCTATTTGACTATGTTCCGCCCAGGGTTGATCCGGAAGACATTGCTCAAGTTTTGAGAGTGCATTTTGGAATGAATCCTCAAACGGTCAACAGACCGGCATATCAGAGGTCATTCCCAGAAAGAATCATCAATGAGCACCTCCTTCCGAGGAATTACAGACCACCCGACTTTCACTCGTTTTCAAGAGAAGATGAAGCATCAACCATTGAGCATGTGAGACGCTTTACGGCTCAATTGAGGGAAGTGGGCAATAATTCGTTTACAAATTATAGTTGTTTGGATTATCGCTTACAAGAACCGTTTTTCCATGGTTCGCTAATTTACCACCAGGACAGTTGCAAACTTGGGAAGGTCTGGAGGCCGTATTCCATGCAAGATTATTTAATCCGCTCCCAACAGTCTCGCTCACAGATCTCTTGGAGATCCGGCAGATGCCAGAAGAAACTGCTTATCAATTTATAGAGCGGATACGTCTAATGAAGGGACGGTGCCCGACAATCATTGAAGAAAGCGAGATGACCAATTTATTGGTCAGGAATATGCATACCAAACTACGGGAGGCGTTGACAGCCCACGATGTTCAGGATCTGGCCAGTTTGGCTTCAAAAGCAGGAAGGCTAGAATCTCTTTTTAGACAAAAAGATCATAATTTCCGACGAAACAGGGTCCAACAGATGGCCAGTGTCAATACAGAAATGTATGCGCCAGATGATGAACAGGAAAACAACATTGAAGAAATGGCGGCTGAAATTGTAAGCGGCAAACCTTACGTGTGTTCCAAACTAAAGCCTCTTCCGGGGACGGAAGAGAAGGAACAACCGACTTTTGATGCGACTAAAGCAGACGAAATTTTCGATATTCTGCTAGCAAATGGGCAAATTCGTATTCCCAAGGGCAGCGGTTAGCAACGAAAGAAGAGATAAAATGGAGGCCATACTGTAAATGGCATAATTCTTTTACACATTACACTAATCAATGTACGCATTTCAAGGAAATACAGAAGGCTATCAAAGCAGGGAGATTCAAGTATGTAACAATGGGAGTGGAGCACCAGCCGTTCCCAAAAGTGACTACTGCTATGATCTCCCTGCGCTCTTCACAAGATATGCCAAGTGATGATGATGAGAATACCAAGCGAAAGGAGCGTAAGCCCAAAGAGCGGGAACACGATCAGGAAAACAAGTTCAAAGTTTGCGAAACCAGAGTAACAGAGAAATGTGATAAAGAAGATGGATCCTTCGAAGTGGAATTGAAGGATAAAGCTGTAGTACGAGATCGACCAACGCGCAAACCATAGCCAGTCCAAGACAAATGGAGCCGGAACAGAAAGCCTCTGCCAATAGACATAGATTCCCGATTTCCAGGTATGAATTGTACACAAATCCGTAATGCTAAGCACAGGTATGCGGCTCGGCCTGGAAAGCGAGTAGATAAAAGGAAGGAGAAGAATGAGTTGTCACCCAAAAGGAAAAGTTCGAGCGACCGACTACAGGGGCACTGGCAGATCGAAGAGCCTATCAAGAAGGCCAAGTGCTTTCGGTGTCAGTTCTGCAGACGGATCAACATTGATCCTGAAATAGGATATGTCGAGGAAGATACTCCTGAGATAATCTTTGGGTCATTTGTTCCAGAAGAAACAAAAGTCTTGCGCAGCAAGATAGTGAAGATTGATAAAGCCGGGTTCGAAGTCAGGATGACGGATATGTGATAGTTCGAGGAAAAAGAAGAGCCCATCTGGGCAAGGTTCGAGGAAGAAGAAGAGCCCATCTGGGCAAATTTATAATTATATAAATTTATATCAAACACAAATTTTATAAATATAATATATTTATAATTAAAAAAGTTACTTATATATTATTAAAACATATGGTCGTCACCTCGAATTTTGGCGGGACACCTGGCGGACACGTCACCTCCGGCAAGCCACTCGGGCGTCTCCGGCGCCGGAGGACTAAAACAACGAAATTTTTTCACTTATAGGACTATTTGCTACAGGCTCCACTTACGGAACTAAAATGATAAGAGGTCCAGTTACGGGACTAAAAAAACAATTTACCAATATATATATATATATATACTAATAACCTTTAGATCAGAGGTAATCAATTACTTAATTTAAATTTTACATTAAAAAATAATATTCTTTTCATCCACGACAAGTATATATTTTGTCATTTTTTATTGTTCAAACAAAAAATATTTATTTATTTTTTTAAAAAGCATTGATTCCACGACATATTACAAATATCCTCAAATTTACACTTATTTACATCAATACTCTATTCATCATAACTTTATACATCATAGTGGTCTTTACATTAAAAAAACTATAACTCACTCTCATAAAAATACAATATTTGTTACTCCATGCAAAAGATAAATATATATTGTACGAGCTTATAGAAGGAATATATTTTTATAAAAATTCATGATGTAACACAAAAAGTCGGAATATATTTTTATAAAAATTCATGATGTAACACAAAAAGTCAATACATAAATATTCATCTTAGGCTGTATATGTTTATAAGGTTTTAGATTTTGAGTTGACATTTGAATGGTAAAATTTTTTAATTGGAATAGTTTTATGACTCAACATAAATTGGTGTTGATATGATATTTTGAATACAAAATTGATTTTTAGTATAATATAAAAAATAAAAAATAGGTATTTAATTTGATATTTTTGGAAGGAGAAAAATTTAGTCAATAATGAAAATTTTTAAAAACTTGCCAAACAAACACACCCTTAATGGATTTTCAAACAAGCCTACTCATCTAAAAAATATTTAATTAGTTAATAACAGTGAATTGTGATATTATTTTACTATTTTTTATGTAATTAATAATATTGCTTAGTTTAAAAATAAATTTAATATATATAATTAAAAAATTGAATATGTATTTAAATATTTTAAAAATTATATGCAATATATGACTATTATTGTGGAGAAAATAAATTTTTTTAATACAAATAATAAAAAAATACTTTTATTTATTTATAATCAACGTAAACTAATTTTATAAAAAGAGATGTAATTTGAATTGTGGATAAAAATATTTTTTACCATGATACAAATAAAAATAAAAGAATTTTTTTAGTATAGATCCTTACACCATGTTATATATTTCGTAATCAATAAAATTAATTTATAGTATTTATTAAGTATATTTTAATTTAATAAGTTTTAGAACCTTATAATAATAATAACAATAAGATAAACTGATTTTTTTATTCTCGTAACAATTGAACTCTTTTATCATTTTATTTAATAATGGAAGCCTATTGCAAATTAATCTTGTAAGTAAAAAATTTCCGTACTTCTAATTCTTGGCAACCAAAACTACCTACATAGCACCCGCATGACTCACCGAAGGACACATGAAATTTTTTTTAATTTTTTTAAAATTATAATTAATTTATTTTTTCCTTTTTATAAAAATTAAAAAAAAAATAAAAATTAAACTCTAAAAAAGTTAAAAAATAAAAATAAAAATCCTTGTATCCGCCAAGTCATGTGTCGCATGGATGACGCCAAATAGGCATAGGCATTTTCAGAGTCAGAAGACAAAAGAGTCAGTTTATCCATAGTAGTAATAATAATAAGAAGAAGAATAGGAGAAAGTAATTGGTGTATGGACAAGAAAGGCAAAACAAGATTTGTGCTGTGGGGGGAAAGAAGCTTCAGACCAAACGTCTTCAGTTCTTAATATCATCATGCACATATCTCACATTTGCCATTTCACTTTCACTTTCAATTTCAATTTCAGCTTCAACTTCTCTCTCGCAAACATCATCAACAGCATTCGACACAAATATATTACCATTACTACTTAGATACCATACCAGATCACGTAATTGATAAATAACAACCTCAATCAATTTCTGAAAGATAAAAAAACAATCGTCAAGAAATTAAGCCATAAGTTAATTCATCCTATCCATGTGTATCCATCCATGGACTTCTATTCATACTAACCTGAATATGCTGCATTTTGGATCGAAGTGCATCCGGGCTTCCAATCGGCGTAGTTAACATCTTCGAATTCTCCTAAATTCAGGACTTTTCTACCTTCAGAAAAATGGGTTTTTTTTTTTCGTTCGAACAGGTTTGAGTGAACATGTCAAGACAATAGCTGCTGCTGGCATTCAGAAAACAAAAAGTTAAAAATTGCTGAGAATTTAAAATAAGTTGGAAATCGAAGGGATGACGATATGCATAGCTTTGTACCTTGGTTCGGAAATGAAAAGAAAGCTTCATCTCTCGATAGTTACGAGGATCCTCCTTTCAGACATTATATATACTTTGTTATCCGATTTTGGCCTCTCCATTTACAACTGCACTTTCAGCATTTCTATTGCCGGCAGCTTTGCTAGTCCTTTCCTTAGGCTCCTTTGTGCCAGCTTCATCAGGAGCGTCGGTCTCTGAAGTAACGATTCTCTCGACAAAATTGTCAGCAACAATTGTACTGCTTTCTAGGGAATTATTTGTTGTAGGGACAGAGATTTTTCCATCGAGGCTCTTCTCATCGGGCATGTTGAAATCGCTAGCTTCACCATTCTGCGAACCTGATGTTGTTCTTTTTGGTTTACCTTTCTGTGAATCTTTATTAGGGCTTCCACTACGCGGCTTTGGGCTCTGTTTCTCTGTTGTAGGCTCGGGAAGTAATGCACGCCGGCTTAGACGAAGTTGCCCTTTCTCGTTGATCTGTGACACATCACATTACAGTATTATTTAACTTAGTATAAAAATAGTGAATATAAAATGTTGTCGTTAAATGAATTTTTACTAGTATGCTAGAGATTAAAATTTCAAGAATATTGTGAAGTAATCGACAATTGCAAATGTAATAGAAAATATTAAGGGAGAAGACTATCCAAACCTCGGTGAGTTTGACATCAATGCGATCTCCAAGTTTGAAAGCCTGTGTTTGCACTGAAAATGTTATGACATCGTATTCATTCGAACATAAGAAAAAGTATTTTAGAGCAATAATACATACGTCTTCCGGCTTTGCCAACCAATTTGCTGTTAGCTCACTAATATGGCATAGTCCCTAAAGCACAAAACAAATCGATTAGATCTGCCACTACACACACTACACTCGACGCTAGTGATTCAACACAATTCCATATTGTAATATGGAACTTTGGGTATCTATTGATATATTTGTATATAGAGAGAAATAGATACGACAGATACGCATCTGGAATTTATGTAACTACCTCTCGTCCAGGTGAAATTTCAACAAAAACACCATATGGAGTTACTGATTTAATCTCACAGTTCCTGTGAGAAAGCAGAGGAAATGTAATTACAAGAATTTGAAGACCATATATATCTAACAAGCCATCGAATTAAGAGCCTAGTGAGCACCAGTTTTCCTTTAATTAGCAATAAAATTTTCATAATGGGGAATAACATCGAATTAGGCAATATAGTTACTTTAATAATCAGTTGGTCAATTTATGGGACAAAATAAAAACCGTAAGTCAAAAGAAACCTGTAAATGTCACCAACAGTTGGGACCATCGTCAAGTTGCTGATAATGGCTTTCGATTTCTCCAAGCTTGACAAATCTTTGGCTGTTATTTTAACCTGATACAACCACATGCTACAGTAAATGCCCAAAGGATTCTCAGATTAGAAATAAACACTGGAGAAATTATTGCTCTCCCAACATACAACGCCGTTATCTTGTGTCTCAATGGACTCAACCCCAGTTTCTTCAATGATACTCTTCACTTTTTTCCCACCCGAACCAATAATCAAGTTAACTTTATCTGGTTTGACCTAAAATACCAGAGGAGCTATGTGTTAGAAACTTTCTTCAAAATCATCTTATCAACAAAACAGGGATTCTGAGGCAACAAACCTTCATAACATGAATAATGGGAGCATATTTTGAGAGACTCTTTGAAGGAGGAGGAAGGCACTTCGACATCTCCTCTAAAAAATAAAAAATAACAAACAAAAAAATCGGATTAGCTTTAAAGAAGTGAAGAACAGCTGATAAAAACGGGCAATCAGTTAAAAATAGACAGCAACTTAACACAATATATGGGTTTGTTTGGTTTTGGCCCCAAACCAAAAAATACTATTCAACTAGCACGATTCCCAATAAAAATACAATATTTTCTTTTATAAAATATCACATCAAAATATTATTTAAATCAAAATTCAAATAAAAAAATCCAAACTCAAGCCAAAACAAAACAAACCCTATGATTTAGAGATGCAGATATTCCACGCGCTGTATGTGCTTGTTTTTGCATGCAAAGACACAGTGAATAATTAAATTAAGTAAAAGAAACTTTTTTATGCGGAGCTGAAAGTAATACAATCATACAATTACAACACAGAAGATTAAATGAGTTATGGTGCACATGATACAAAGGCAGCAATTGAATATCGTGTCATTTCCAGATAACATTATTTTCAATTGACTTGCAAACTTTAGTATAAAGCACAATATCCTCCAACACAGTTAAGCAAGAATATAGATTATAAACATCAATCTGCCGCATTGGCTAAATTAGTCAGGATTAGTGATCATAAATACAGCACACAGATGAGTTCTTCAAGCAATTTCCAAGTATTAAATGCAGACAAATGAATAAAATGTCCAATCAAATGAAGGCTTCGCATACAGAACATATCCTGTAAAGCAGCAGCTATCAAAGAAATTTGAATGTGGAACATGGAATGTTTCCATTATTTTTTTGTTTTTTCTGATACCACCGCTTCTCTGAGCAGACGAACAAGTTTGTTCCAATTTATTTTGTTTCTCATTTACTTTGAGGCATATATAAAATGAAACTTCAATTCATTATCGCTTGAAATGAGGTTGTCAAAAATTTACCAAGAATGTTCTTTCGACCTTCTCTTGCTTGCAGGAGAGCTTGTCTCATGACTGGTAAAGTAATTCCTCCCACCTGCCATCACATAGTCATGGTGAACAATGACAGGTCCTATAATTATATAATAATAGGTAATAAAACAAATATATCATTCTCTAACTTCATTGACACCATTGTTAATAAATTGCAAAATCAGTACATTCCTGTCATTTTAATTAACTGTAACAAGAGAAACAACACTTCCACTGAGAAAGAGTTGAGTAACAACCTTTATATCCATCTGGAATGCAGTTATACCATCATCATTCCCTGCAACCTGCAGTATAAATAGATAAAACTCATCACACTAAGCTTCCTAATTGATGCAAAAGCAACACGACCTAGATATATAAACAAACGGACAACACAAATAAATACAAGTGCACCTCCCTACATTTAACCAAGAAAGCTAATCCAAAGGAATATCGGATGCAAGAGATTCCCTGAACATAAAGTTTCAAAACCTTAAAATCCATATCTCCAGATGCATCTTCACCTCCTGTTATATCAGAGAGTATAAGAGGAGTGCCATCTCCCCCAAACTCCTTAGTGTCCAAGACCATACCCATAGCAATTCCAGCAATTGAGCACTTCACTGGAACACCGGCATCTTGTAATGCTAGGCAACCCCCACATACTGAAGCCATACTGTCACAAGTAGCCAGTAAATAAGACACTCCACCCACAAAACTAGCATGCATCGGGAACATGAAAAAGGATTTAACAGAACTTTATGATCCTATTATATGTATTTTTTATATGATGCATAATGATGGGAGTCGGTTCTAGAAATGGGAATTAACAGAAAAAGGTAAAAAAGTGTGTATTCAGAACTAATATTAGTGGGCCTCTCATGCTTGTATGTGCATAATTACATCAAAATGGACTGGATTGTTAACTTCTGATTCTAAATGTACATGGCAAAAGCAATGAAAACAAGATGGATAGTAGTCCATAGAAATATAATTAGAGATTTGTTCCTGCACTCAAAAGGTTGCAAGTGTAAAAAGTGGTGTGTGAAATTTGTACGTGCAGGTAGTCCATCAGGCACATGAGGAGACCATAGTGGGTGCCAGGAAATGCTCGGGTTGTTAGAGGAGGGAGGGTGATGTATTTTGATATACTGAGAGAGACAAGACAATATGAAAGATGAAGGGCCACTAGTATTAAGAATCAAGATTATGGCTGTGGTGGCAACAAATGTCTACACACACAACTAATGTAATCAATTTTTATTGCAATAAATAAATAAATAAAAACAAATGTCTTCACAAAATGATATCTATAGCACATGACTTAAGTACTCACACTCAGCGGTTTTATGCACCCAGGTTGATGGTGGTGGCAGTAGGAATATGTGTAGAAACATATGGATTGACTGGTACTATAGTTAGGGAATGTGAAAGGCTCACTTTTGTAAGGAGGCGGTGAAGATATATCAACATGGTTTGTGGAAATAGAATGAGAATTGATCGCTATTCTTACTCTCTTGGTACATCTTGTTATTAATAGTGGTGGTTATCCCTTTTCAGAGTTACCATACGGACACATAAAGGAATGATCAATTCCTCATTGAACCCTAAGTTACTGGTTCCCATGATAAGTAATAGTTAATTTATTTTTTTGTTTTTTTTAATGAAATTGATGTAATATAATTCAACACTAATACTACTAGCTTAAAAATAACATAATATGAATAAAATAATGGTACTTGCTTTTTATTGCCTTAAATACCTGCCACGACAAAAGAAATTCAAAATCATTCTATTTCTAAGTTCATGTTACTCCTACTCTACATTTTTTCTTGCATACAAACTGCTACTTAAGGATAACAGTAAACAATAATAAGCCTTGGATCCTTAAATTATTTGAGGCTCATCTTGCAAATACATAAGGGACACCCAAAATGGGAAGGAAAAAGCTTTTAGGGTGGAGACTGGGTTGGGCTGAAGAGTGCAGACAGTGCCAAATTTATTCCCTTTTCCAAAGGGCAATCAAAATCAATGAATGGCGCCATGAATATGCATGTATATATATGATCAGCCACTGAAGTAATGTAATGCTTTACCTTGATGAGCCATTACTCTCTGTGATGGTACTCTCTACGCGTACTGTATAAGGGAAGTCATCTTCAGGAGGCAGTATGGGCTCCAAAGCTCTCTCTGCAAGCATACCATGGCCAATTTCTCTTCTAGATGGGGCTCCTGCACGGCCAACTTCTCCAACACATGAAGGAGGAAATGAGTACTGCACAAATAACCAACAAAAAGACATGACTTGTGAGTCCCATTTAGAATCACTCCATATAGTCTTACAACTACAGAATGAGAATGTAACCCACAAAACAGGTGATTGAATGGATATCAGGAAAAGTTGTTGTACTGCAGGACAAATTTTAGCTGAACAACATTGCTCAAAGTTTCATGAAGTAAATACAATAATACAATATTCTGTTAATTGTCTTATACTCTGCTATTTCAAAATACTTTCTTAAATATACAGAACTTTCAACAAAATTTTGAAAGTTAACATACCATTAAGGTGATTGTTACAATTTACAAACATAAGATGAGTGGTCAAAACTTTTGGTGAACTAAAGCTGACCTATCAGGTTCATTGTAGATCCAATGATAAACCTAAGCCCAAAACCCCCAAACTAATTAATATTTTGTTAGGTTCATACTACGTTCTCAGGTTGGGATGGAAAACACCACACGAGTAACCTATAACAATCAATTGGTTCTGAGTTTGTTTAACCTCTGTAGGAAAAAGGTGTACGGAAGAGAATTGATTCTGTTATTAAGGGGCATTATGATGGGATTTCGTTAATTCAAGGTTGTACCAAGCAAACTTCAGAATGAATGGCCGCATTCATTCATAAAAAGAGTTATATGTTTACATAAATGACATGTGCTAACTAGGAAATATTTCTTAATGACTTCTTCCTAAATCCTAACTTCAAGTCCACTCCTATAAATAATATAACTAATAATGATGAAAATATTTACATCCCCATGTTCCTATTTCATAACTCAAACTCACAGGCAACTAAGATCAGTTTTATAAGAAAAATAAATAATAGGTTATTTTAGAAGTATAAATGATTAAGAAAGTGTCACCTGCAAATAGAATCTCTTGAACTCATCTTCTTCCATAAGGTTGTCTAACCGCTGAGCCATTTGTTTATCGCCAAGTGTAACCACAGCTAATGACTGCATAACAAGATACAGACAAGAGAATTTATAAATACAAAATAAAATAAAAGCCACTATATTAAAAAGATGAAAAGCTGGGGGGGGGGGGGGGGGGGGGGAATGACTGCAGTTCCACAAATTACACAAGGTGATATCATTTCTCACAAGCACTAGAAGCGAAATTCTATTAAAATTAAAAAAAAACAACTAATTTACTTCCACTGTTAATAAAAGAGATATACCCACCACGCATATGATGTGAGGTCCTTCAACAAGTATAATAACTATCGATACTCAATCAGAAAATTTAATAACACAAGAAGTGAAAAGAAAATTTCTAATATTTTCAAGGACCAATAGATGATAAGAAGGGAATCCAGTCTAGCAGGTTGATGAGAAACATCTAGGCTGACTCACTTGTGAATCAGCCAACTAAAGTCTAATTTTTATTTTTTTTTTGTATTGTTTCAGTTTAAAATAACAAATTCCAATTCACATGACACCAATTTATTTTAATAGAAACTTACAGTAAATCACAAGTTTTAGTAAATATAGACGACACAGCAGCAGAAGAAAATGATATATTTCAAATTACTGATCATCAGGCTAGATTCATTAGATATAATACAGGAATCTTTTCTGTTATCAAATGTGATCATCCTTGATATTATAGCGATGCAATCTATCACAACAGCATGGTTAAAAAATTTTCAAAATAGATCAGCAGCAAAGACTTAAACAGGCATTAAGGAGATCATAGTGACAAGAGCATGAAAGATCCCAAATAAGAACCAGCCTAGACCTCACCATTCAGAATTCATACATTTTTGGATGTCAAACAAGTCAAGCTCCTCAAGCTCAAGCTTGAAAATTGCTAGACTTGAGCTCACACCACGTATCATGTAGCTTGACAGTTGAGTATCAGACATTGTAAAGTTCTTTCAACTACCAAGTACCCATTGAGTAACAAGTATAAATTATTTTTATATTATTCTTTTATTTGAATGTTAAAGCTTAAATTCTTCTGGGCGCCAGCTTGGTAATAAAATCAAGTCAAGCTTGAGAGTAAAGTTATTTGAGCTCAAAGTGTAAAATAAATTCAGAAAGTAGACCAGTGGTTAAAAAGATAGATTCACTAAAATTTTCTCCAACAAAATAGATAACTAGACCTGGGTTTCACCACGTGTGAAAAGAGCACTTCCATGTGCTCGAGGAAGTAATCCACACCGTGAAGTAATTGACCGTAAATCCTCAGGGCTCCTGCCATCACTTCTTTTTCCTCCCTGAGTAAAACAGTATAGGAAACATCTGATATTGGAACCATGTGTATTTTAACCTAATACCAAATCGATTCTATCAGAATAGTACCTCCACGATACGTCTTCTCAAAAACTTGGAGGAAACTTCCTTGAAAACAAGCTTCACATCCACCTCAGAGAATAGCTACAACAAAGAATCAAGAATCACAAAATATTTCAAAATTATGCTCATGAAAATTCAAAGAGCTTATCATTAGAATTACAACTTCAATACAAAAACCAATTCTATGTATTAGAATTGATTTATTGTTTAAGCATGCAGAAGCTTAATAAATTACATGCACGCAAACCATTTGTAATACAAACAAAACGTCAATAACTTTAAAAAGTAGTCTCCCAACACAAGAACTTATGAGTAATTTTTGGATGGGAAACCAGTCAAACCACACAATAGACCGTGAGTTTTTTCCAGTGAACATTCACAAAGTTCAATATCCTCATAAACTGATAAAACTAGTGCGTATGAATTATCCTATGATAGCTATCTAATGCATCATCAAGGTGAGTAATGAGTATCTTGGTTTATATATCAAACAGATAGCATGGATCACAAGTGGCAGCCCCTTATCAACAGAACATCAATTTGTCCGAGAGGCATATGTCAAGTAGAAAGATCACATCCCTAAAGCATCTATAGGCATTAAAAATCCAGAAAGTATATGAACCATTCATCCAAGGATAGTGTATATTCTTCTTAAAGGGCAAGTATTACCAAAGGAGTAGGCTTCTTTGGGACTGGCTTGATATGAACATCACCTTCATCAACTTCACCATCAACTACAACCTCCTCATCCTCATCTTCATCTTCAAGCACATCCAATAATGTTTCAGTTGTAACTGAAAATTCATTCTTGCTAACAAAGCCCTCCTCTGTCAGTATGGTCAACACTTTTGCTTCTAAACTGGATAATGCCTTGCGTCTTGGAATTTTACTCTTAATTTGTAATGCTTCAACTAACTCATCACCTGCAATTTCCTGAACACTATCAAAAATCAATGTCACAACTGAAGAGAATCTTGTATCAAAATAAATGAGAAAATTACCAACGATACAGTCAAGAGATTCAAGATCATATACACAATTTTCTGTAACTCCATTTTTAAATGAAACCTGTTAGAGATTTCAATGATGCCTCGTACAGTGTTGGCATCCTATAGCATGATTTTGATATCTTAGTTATAGCAGAAATATCTCCATAAGGTTTTATATTAACAATGAATACTATTTATTATCAGAGCTATTCTCAATGTTGACATCCGTCTTTCCACCTTTAAGAGATATGATCCAGCAGATAAAAATATTTGTATGCTTGCAGATTCCCAAACAATCACATTGAATTATTATTGCATCTCCAAGCTTTGATTTGATATCTATGCAGGGTGGATGAAGAAAGAAGTAAATAGCATGAAGTGATTATTTTGCAGCAGAAAAGGCTTCATCTCTGGAAAAATAAAAATAAAATAATAATAACTAAATTTGCACGTAACACACATTAGTTCCTAGGCGCTTAAGCTGAAAATACAAGAATTAGACCCGACAGCTCATTAATCAAGCAAGAAAAGAAAGGACGAAAGAAATAAAATCACTGCTTCTAGTAACTAAACATGAGAACATTACAGCATACCTCAACATGCTTATACAGCTCTGCAGGGGGCAATTTAATTGCTTCAAGCATTTTTGGCTTCCCGCACTTTTTCACTAAGGATTCCACCTCTGTACATATAACTCTTACTGCTTCCTGATATTGGCAAAAAAAGAAAAAAAGAAGCCTTGGGTAAGTATACCCACAGCCCAACTTAATAATAAAATTAATTGTAATGAGACGAAGTTGCAGTGAGAAAGCAGTTCAAGGATTAATAAGAAAACTGGGTACACACCTGTCCAACTTCTACTGCTTGCAGTAACATCTCCTCAGGAAGAAAGTCACAGTATCCCTATAATGATCCATTTTGGAGGGGTGGGGAGGCAACATAAAGAAACAAGACTATAATCATAGTTCATAACATTGCTAACGAAAACACATCCCTCAATCAGGAAAAAACAGAAATGAAAGGAAAACTGTGGCCAAGAAGCAACATAAAACAAATGTTGAATTTTTTTTAAGAAACAATTTGAAAGGGCAAAACATAGACCTTAGGTTTGTTCTTTTGGTGATTTTTTCGAAATTTATACTATTCAATTTTCACAATTTCCTATAAAAATAAACTATGCACTCTCACAAAACATCACATCCAAATTACCGTCAAACCAAAAACGAAAATCCAAAAAAAAAGAATCATCAATCATAGACACTCCACATTTCTGCAATAGCAAATTTTGGATATTCAGTTGCACAGGTACCCAATTACCAAAGAGATTGAAGGTATGAACTTCAAAATCTACCTCAATCATCAATATTGCACTATCTGTCCCGGAAAGTAACAAGTCTAGCTTAGAGTCTTCCATCTCCTTTGTAGTTGGATTCACAACAAATTTATCATCAATAAGCCCAATTCGAACACCGGCTATAACTTCAGAATTTGGCACTTCTGAAAGAGCTCTGCAGAAAATGATGATTTAAAACAACAAATAAATTCCTTACGAATGTGGCAACCAGCAGAAACAGAAAATGAATTATGAAAGTAACAAACATACACTGCAATCCCGGCAGCTGTGACTGCTAAAGCATCTGGGGTGTGTAAGCCATCATAACTTAATACCTGCCTCAAGACAAATGCATAAGTTCAAAAGCATGTGCTGCCTAGTGTCATAAAGTAAAGTCAGCTGGGTTTGGGAAAGCCAACTGAGATGGATCAAAAGAGGTGGAAATTGATTAAATCTTGGTTATATAGAGCTAAATACAGCCCTCTGTAAATTCCTTTGTGAGGTAAGCAAACTAAAATGGACAGAAAATGATAAAAAATAAAAAACTGACTTACAGTTGGATCATCATTAAATACATCATGCTTCGTCAATAAATTATATGACTAACACTGTTGGATTATAGATGAACTAAAACCCATCGAAGATAAATTTCATCTTAAGCAATCAATCCATATGGACTCAATCAATATAAAGCCAGACGACCAATCTTCGAGAACATCCAAAAGTTCCTCAACTCCTATTCAATCCAATGATCATTTACCAAAAATTTTAAGCTCTTACAGAGGTGCATAAGTTCAGTTTATTTTTAATTCCTCCAAGCGTCTTCATGTTCAAACAATATCTTCAATTTTTTATTTTTTTTTGTGGTGCAATACGAGACCTTCCCAGGAAGTTATCCATCCTAATCCTACTCTCACACAAACACACATAACTTCGGAGTTCTGACGGGATCCGTTGCGTTAGGCTGCCATGGGCTGTGCAATGTCTTTCATTACCTAAACTGATGTGACAGAGAGTCTGACACTCAACAAAGAAAATATTAAATTTTCCGTTTCCATCTGATATCACCAACCATTTTACAGTTTAAAGAACATTAACAAAGTTCCAAGCTTCTTCTTTTCACCATCCTATTTTTTAATATTTTAGTATGCAGAACTTGGTTTAGTGTAGGACAGTAAAAGTTCAATAGACAAATTCATACAGAGATATATCTGGAGGATAGAAGTTGAATGTCGATAACTATTGATAAAACTTGACACATCACAGTGTTTTCGTTAAAAACATACCCAAGATAATATCTGTGTTTCATGATAAAATCCCTTAGGCATAGTTGGGCGTAGAGGCCTATCGATTAATCTACAAATAAGAACCTGCAAAGGAAATATATTAAGTTACTGAGCAGAATATATATATATATATAGATAGATAGATAGATACAAATGAAAATCAATATTTCCATTATCACTAAAGCAAAAACCAATGAAAATCAAATAGGGTTAGAATTACCTCATGATCCTTTGTCTTTCCTTCTCGCTTGAAAAATCCACCACTGTATAATCGTGGTAAACAAAAGAAAATTTTTACAATCAAAACACAAACAAATGGAAAAGGCTAATAATTAAATTATTACCTCGTTCGACCAGCTGCAGAGAATCGCTCTTGATAATTTACAGAGAGGGGAAAGAAATCAGAAGGCTCACTAGGAACATCATCAAGACAAACAGTCGTGTAGACAATCTACAGCGGAACAAAAGTAATTTGTTTACAGGATGAAAACTGAAATGTAGGCAAAAGTCTACTCAACATTATGACTTTAAATATTAGTTAGTACACTTTTACAAAGCAAAGGGGCATATGGATCAAAACTCTCATGAAATTTGTTAGTATGAGCATCAATTATGCAGTTTCTTATGATATATCAAAGAGCACGAATGGAATACAAAATTTCAACTCCATAACTTACAGTCTCTCCATCCGTAACAGTTACAGCACCACTTGCTTGTCTCCCGATATGACCTGTCTCAACTAATATCTGTGAAAATTTTAGAAAAAAACCACATAATCATGCAGAACAGATATTTGGTCATTCGAGCCAAAGAAAACAGTACTAGAAGAATAACCCCGCATAAAAAATTACAGATTATTTAGAGAACAAACATTGTAAAACATCTACTGATGCTCAATTGGATTAAATATCATAAAGTCTTTTGGAACTTTAAAGAACTAGAGTTTTCTACATAATTTCTTGGCCATTGACATTTTAAATCATCGAAGTATGGTAAAGATCATTCCACAAAATCTTTCATCAGCTTTAATTATACTTCAAAATCACTTAACTTTATGATATGATTGTGCAACTCTTACTCTACAAACTCTTTCTATTCAATGAATATCAAAGAACAATCATCAAAGACTGCTTATGTCCAAGAAATTTGCACTATAAATCCGTCTTTTAAAACAACCGAAACAACCGTAACGTATCAAACAGACGTACATGGCGATCGCCAACAGGAATTCTGATGGAGTGAGGAGCAAAGGGCTGCCGAGGAGCCTCTTCACATTGAAGGACGGGCTCTGCAGGTAAAGAAGCTCTGGTTGACAAGTGGCCGCACAAGTTTCTGCACCTTCTGCTGCTCCTAAGTCCCCTCCTCCTCCGAGCAACGGCATTGGGTGGAAGAATGTTAAAAATTCTTCCCCTATTGAATGAAGAGAAATGAGATGAAATTTTGAAGTGGGTGGAATCTAAGGTAGAGCGGAATCGCCATGGAGGGAGGTGGAAGTTAGAAGTAGGGTTTGCTGCCAGCATTTCTTCTGGGGTTTCTCCTTGCCTCCCGCCCCGTCAGGCTTCAGTCACTACGTACACGCTGAGTGTTGTGTAAATATTTGCAGGAGAGAGTGAGCAGAGGCTTATCCACTCAAACGGGCTTCTTCTTAGGTTTTGGTTTGGGTTTTGTTTGGTGTGTTTCTTTCATAATAATAATAATAATAAAATTGATGTATTTTTTAATTAATATTCATCCAAAATATTTATATTTGAATATATTTTATTTATTGAAATAACAATTCAATAAAGTATATAAATCTTAAATTTCTACTATTGTCTTTTTTAAGAAAAAAATGTATATTTTTTATTACAAAAAATCCTATTATATACTCCCTTCGTTCAATTTCTATTGTCCTAAAGTATATTTGCACGATTTTTTAGGTAATTTTTTTTTGTTATGAATTGACAAATTTGCCTTGTATGGTAGAGATTAAAAGTAATAAATGAATGAAGAGTAAAAATGTAAAATTTGTGTTTAAAAAATTGAAATAGGACAATAGTTGTTGGACGTCCCAAATAGAAAAGTAGGACATTAATTTGTGGACGGAGGGAGTAATACGGAATTCAAATCAAAGTTTTTTAAACTCCATGGAAGAAAGATCTTAAAGTCTTTTTTTTTTAAAATGTTGTGTACATATTCATTTATTTTGAGAAAATTTAGTTAAATATAGACTTTGAATAAATTAATGTTTGTGTTTTCTTATAAATTTGATTTTTGAATTTGAATTTTTTAATAATAAAGTAAGAAGAACAAAGCGTTATAATTGAGGATTAAATTTGAAACCGTTCACACAGTGTAATATACAATGATAATACTCGTTTCACATATGATTTGAATGGACCTAAGTAGTAGAATTAGAAAGTTAGATTTATTGGAATATTTAATTTTATTTTGATTTATTACAAATATGATCCAATATTTTAAATAATATTTTAAATTATTATTGTATTTAATTCAACAAACTCGTATTAATAAGGTGTTAATCATTGATATTTTTATATATGCAAATAGGTTCGATACTTTTATATATAGTTCATATGTAAAAAATATTCAAAATAAAAATTTTAATTATTCAAGCAATATGTCGATTACAAAATTCAAATACTTGAATTCAAATTTCTCCATTGAACATCATCTTCACCATTTCTGTCTTCTCTTCGTCCGGAAAGCTAAAGAAAAGGTTCAAATCTTTGGCATTGTTGACAATTTGCTTCAAAACAAATATTTTATCACGCATGCTCAAACCTGAAATCTTTCCAACTGCAATGTAAACATCTCTCTCTCACTAGAAATATCATGTTCATATCCAATTTTTTTTGCAATATCAGATAATCTAAGCATTAGTTTTATTGCAACAGCCATTAAATCAAAACAGTGATGATCATTTGAACTCACTATTTTTTGCTTTTTTAGATGATTGAGTTTTCTCGGATGAATAGAATCCGATGAATTCTCATCTTCAACTCCAGCATGAAACAAGTTATTTTGAAGAATAAAAATTGATTCAATTGTTTTTTCTCGACCTTGAATTAGTAAGTGTTGTGTGATGCTAGCAAAATTTTAAACATGTTCCCTTGTTGCTTTCTTCTTTTCAAAAATTTCTACTCATGCTTTATATCAAAAGTTATATCAAGACCTTTGCTAGTGGTCATACATTTGCATCGTCAAACTATCTCTCCATGATGACCATTGTTGTGATGACTCAATGTTACCAATATAATTACTACTTACATTATCAAATATATCACCATTTATAAGAGTTTTTTGCTCCATAGGATGTAAAGAAATTAGTGCGAATGAAGTTATGAATAAGCAACAAGCCAGAATAATCTTTTTTTGAATTTTTATCGAATAGTAAGAGTTACTCCTAAGAATTGTCCATCGTGCCTTAAATGACCCAAATGTCCTATTTATCATATAACGATCCTTTGAATATATTAAAATATTCTTGAAATTTTTGAGAGGTTGATGAATTATTACTCCATTCATTTAAGTGGTATCGAAGTCCACGATATGGAGTCAAAAATTCATCTCCATTTGTGTAGCCATTATCACATAAGTTATAAGTTCCTGAAAATATAAGTGTAAAACTTTAAATTTATCAGTCATGAATTTATAATAATTTGATATGTTAATTATTTTTAAAACAAATTACCTTTTGGAACTCTCAATCCATTTTCTCTTGTTATAGCATAAGGACATATATAAAATTTATGTTACGATAAAAAACTCCTAATATATTAATTACAATGTCTCATTTTCATGATTGGTATCGCGTTTTTCATACTGTAAAACTTTCAACTTAATAAGTCTCATATAATGCACCTAAACATCCTTAATAATAATATTAAATTATTATTTTACAAAATATCTGGATAAAGTAGACTATTATATATATAATTTGAATACAAAGTGTTGTTCTACCTTAAAATATTTTCATGTGTTATTTGTGCAATCTTCATTTACAGGATGAGGCTCAACGAACAACAAATGATGGATCTTTAATAGTGCATCCAAGACATCATTAAAATATTTGTTGATTGTACGGCTTGACCGCTTGAAATCATGTTTGACAATTCGGTTCTTCTTATGATAAGCTAATATGGATAAAAATATTGCAACTTGCTCACTAAAACTAATATTTTTTGTACATGAAAGATCTCCAATATTTTCCAACAACATACATAATCTACCAAACGAATTCATATCCATCCGTAAGTTGTTGACACCATCTATATCACTTATATCAACAAGATTGTGTACAATCTTTACTTGATGTGGAATTTTGTCTTTCAACCTATATTTTTTATGTTCTATGTATTGTGTAGAAGAATATTGATTTTTGCATCCGAAATAAAAAAGATAATAACATATTTAAAAATAAAATACTTTCATGTACAATCTTTTGAAGAATGATCAAAATTTCATCTCTACTGCATTATTATCCATGTTGAGATACTATTGTAATAAAAAAAAATGTTAGAATTATACTATTAGGGTAAATTATTCTAAAATTAAATTTAATTGATGTATTTGTGTTAAGAAAAAATGATATTATTGAACTAGGACTAAAGTGAAATCTAACAGGAGAATATGGATTGTTGTTACGTTAGAGCGGGATATAAATGATTTTAGAATTCTTCTTGCTATCAATTCAAGGATTATGTAGGTTCCTAATAATTCTTAAATATTATTCACAAATTAGAAATTCTATGTACTTAGTGTAACTCGAACATTATGTTGTACACTGCACATGATGAATCTTGGATTAACAAATAATTTTCTAGAGTTTATTTTTGCATTTGCAAAAACAAACATAAGATCCGAGAATCAAATATCGAGACCTCATCCAAAATACATAACAAAACATTTATTCTCTACACCAACATAACAACTATTTTTCAATTTTTTACTATACTCTATCATAGAACAAAATATATAAATAATTTTCAACAGAACAATAAACTAGTTCAATTCTAAAATCCTTATGAAGACGACTAAAAATTTCATTCTAAAATTTATCCAAAACCTTTTTGTCTCTAAATATCTCATTTATCTCAATTTCATATTTTTTACATATCTAGCCACAAATATTTTATTTTATTTTTAAAGTTTTATTTGAACGCAAACAAACAAAAGATGAATTATATAATCTGTAAAAGATGGATTATATAATTTGGCATCCAAATCATAATCACAATTTTAGAACTCAACTTGACTATATAATTTTAAATCACTAGTATCTTAATAAAATGATCACAACCAAATTTTGCATTGCCAGCAAAACAAAAATAGATAACTAGATTTCAACAAGCATACATTATTTTTACAAAAATCTTAAAAATGTACAAAAAGAAACCCTAGATTATACAAGAAACAATAAATAAAGGAAAAATACAACAAATAAAATTGCGTATGAAGAATTTGAATAAGAAAGAATGGAATGTTCCCACAAAAATCTGAAGCTACTACGTGCGCGAAAAAGAGTTGTGCGAACTGCGCGAAGAACTTTGCGAAAAGAAAAATTGTGCGAGGGTGAATGAAATGGAATGGATAGGGCAGATAAAAAAAAAATTAAGATAAAGATAGTTTAATAATCTATTAAGTTGTATTATATAATATTAGGATATTTGATTAAATTCATAATCTTGTAAATTAATATCAGTGTATCAGGCATGTGATTATCTCGGATCCGAATACATTAAACTAAACATAATATTAAGTCAGATAAAATAATTGTATACAACATAATCCTTTGAAGTAAACGCCCCTTAACTATACATATGTGTGTGACCGTGTGTGTATATATAAAAATGTATGTAATGATTATGTTGAATATGTAAATATTTGTTATGTATGTATATTATGTATTAATTACTATATATATATACACATGTATATTAAGTAATAAAGCAAATGAAGACACGGAGAAAGAAAGTAAATGCGATGTGATTTTTTATTTCAATAACTACAAGTATATATAGATAGACATATGCGGCTACAAACAATACAACAATTAGCCTATGTAGATGAGACGTGGCATGATTAAAAACATCCACAACTTGAAGACGTATGTACTATGTGTACAACACTCCCCTTAAATGCTTTTATACAAAGACCGTGCCTCGTTAAAAGCTTACTAGGAAAAAACCCCGTGGGAAAAAAAATTATAGTGAAGGAAAAATAGTATATCATTCTTGTATTAATTTGCTCCCCCTGATTTGAGCATTATTCGAGATCTCTTAATTGACGCATTTCAATTTTCTTTACCAATTTTTTAAATGTTGCATTCGGTAATGCCTTGATTAATATATCCACTAAATTATTATCTGATCGAATTTGTTGCACATCGATTTCACCATTCTGTTGAAGATCATGAGTGGAAAATAATTTTGGTGAAATGTGATACCCCCGGAGTTGGGCCGTTGCTTGACCAACTCTCGTGTATGGATGAGCCGAGATTAGGTAATCCAAAGTTGATTAGAGGTTAAATAGATTGAATAGACCACTTATGTCAACAATGTGCAAATTTTTTTTTCGGGAGCCCTATTGAAAGTTCTCAAGAGTTAAGCATGCTTGCCCTAAAGTA